AAGAGGTTAATTCAAGTAATGTCCATAGCACGTGCTATTTCAGTGTGCTGGAAAGTCAAGTTTCCTGAAGGTTGATGGGACAATCTGTGTGACTCCTTACTGTTACCCTGAGTAATTAGTAATGACTGGGGTTGAAGATTGTCCAAATTACTCCTAGGATTTAGTCCTTATTCTTATAAAAGCATAGGCTAAAAAAGGCGTTTAAGATACTAAACAAAAACAGAGTGAAATTGCTCAAAAGAAAAATTTGTCAGCAAAAAGAAACAATGTTTAAAAGGCCAGATATTTATCTATCAAGCAGATGGCAAGATTCACCATGCAGACAGAGACAACACAATGTTTATCAACTGTCTTTGACAGTACTTTTGAAATGGCATATTCATCTGCCAGTTTACTTTACAGAGAAATATCTGCTAGGTCCTGAATCACCCTAAGAGCTAAAAAGGAAGAGAAAGAGTAGATTTGGGCATATAAACACGATATAAAATATCTACGTTATTTTTCAGGCACATATATTTCCAAACACAAAACTTTCTAAAAACAAGTGTTACTGCTCTAACTTTATTGCAACATACAAATAAGCACAGAATTCACACACTTCAACGACTAGAGAAAACTACTGGGATGCAATAACCTGTCTTGTTGAATTTTCTTCATTTACACAAAAGATGTAGTTGTGTAGTTGTTCAGTTGTTTAGGTTGCCCCTGCTGAAGAAGGGACCATAGACAGGAAGCAATAGGAGAAAGGAGAAAAGCTTTACAGTGCAAATGTCTTCCTTAGCCCAAATCCACTACTGATCAAAGTGATGTAAAAATCAGCAAGAAAGGAGTGACTGGAATTTATAACTGACTTCAGCTGTCAATCTACAGCTATACCTATCCACCAGCCATGACTGAACAACCAGCTAACATCCAGCCATCTGACCCATCCTGTCAACCCTTGGCAAAGCTTGGCAGAAAGAAAGCAAGAGAGAAAGCAAGAGAAAGGGAGGGAGGAAAAAAAGCCAGCTGTAGCAATTACACTTTTTTTTTTTTTTTTTTATTGCAGGGCCCATGTGCAAAGGCAATGTCAGACCCTAGATGCTGCAATTGCAGTGGCTGCAAAAGATGAAGAAAACCAGCCAATGCCAGTTAACACCATGCTACCAAAATCTCATACACCTCTCCATTCCTTGGGAAAACAAAAGCAACAGTAGTCTTTGTTCACAGCACCAGTCACCTGCAACCCTTTTCTGGAAAAGGGCTAGAAGGCCCCACAGTCCTGGTCTGCTTTTAGAGATGAGATGTACTGTGTGGACGTATGGGGTTCTTCTCTAGGAAGAAGCAGTACACTTATGCTCCATGTATAAATTTTGGAACTGCCTGCTACCAAAACTCATGAGCTCACAAGTGTGGAGAAGGCAACATATTTCTAAAGATATATTAAGTTTTCAGCTGAAGTTCCAGGCTTTAAACACTTTAAGACAATGTTGTCCTTTTGACCAGCCATAACTAGGCTATTTGATTACAGTAATTTAATACTTTTAAATCCTATTCCACACAAACTCTCAAAGCTTAGAAGTGATTTTGTACTTCAGTTAAATGCCAAATTGCACCTTCTTAAGCTGCTTCATCAGTTTCTAATCAATTCAGCTCTTGTTCCTTGAGCAGCTTGTCAGCGCTGAAATCAGAATTACATATTGCAGGACAGTTCAGGCTAGCAGGGACTCTGGGAGGTCTGCAGCCCAGTTTCCTGCTTGACGCAGCCATGAGATCCAATGAGGACACTCAAAGCTTTACACAGTTTGATCTTTAAAATTCCCAAGGACGGAGACAGCATAAACTCTGTGCCCCCAGCCTTCACTGTTTTCTTATCTTCAAGGGCTAGAGTTTTATTACATCAAGTCAGAAAAGCCCATGTGCTTCTTTATTTTAGCAGAAATCTCCGTCTTCTGTTTTACCTTTGTATTTCAAGCCATGGATCTGATGTAGCTGTATCTGGTAACTGAAACCCCAACACACTAAATAAGCCATGATGGAAACTAGAATCAATAGCTTCACCAGCATGGCCTAAGCAAGCACACAGAGCAAACTCTCCCCCATCCTGTTCTTCCTTTCCCAAAAAGGTCTCACACTGCTCACAGCAGCTGGCTAGTTACACGTAGAACATGTTCGCAGAGCTGCTAGCCTCTAACATGCATTAAACCCACCTAAAAATGGATGAAAGAAATGGGTAATAATTTAAATAAGAACAAGGTCATAATCAGTAAAACTTGTCTACAGGCTGTGACTCTGTTTTTCCAATAATCTTTGAAGTTTTGCCTTAAAGAAAAAAGAGCCCCTAATATTCAAGCACCTGATTTTGTCAGTTTCACTTAACAGCTCCTCAGTTCCCATGCCAGCTCCCTTTTCTCCTGCCTGTCAGATCGGTATTAGCAGGAGGGTGGCTGGAGAAGGGGCTCTTTACCAGTAAGTGAGCAGGCCAGAATGACCACAGAAAGCAAAGAGGAGCCAGACCACAGGAAGCACACAGACTGGTAAGTAGTCATAGGTTAGAGGTTACAGTGTCAATGTAAACACCAAGAGGAATTTGTGTTAAATGTAGTATACTGTTTATAACTCAACTCACTTGTTCTGCTTTTTTTTTTTCTTTTAACCACAGAGGGAAGAACCAAAACAAAAGCCCACCAAGCTGGGCTGTTCCCTATCCCTTTTTTAAGTGGTTTGCATGAATTATGTCAAATAAAAGAGGGCAATAGGATTAAGCTGAGAAAAGTATGGTACAAACAGCTCCTATAAATCTCCTAGATCTCTTAAGCAAACTCATCCACTAGTGGAAAGGTCAGCTGAAATCCTATCCACTGGACATACACTTTTTCCAGAGGAATTCTCTACGTATGCCACAAAGATTTAACACAATAAGTTAATCTCCAAGTTACATCCAGATACGATGCTTTAATACTGCTATACTACTAGTAATGGCATACTAAGTTCTGTCATTCGAGTAGATCATCTTTCAAGATCTATTTCTACTACTTTGAAGAATGAACAATCTTAATTTTCATTGCCAATTATCTGTTTGAATGCAAATCTGCATTAATACTAAACATAACAGAGACCCTATGGTTAAATAACCAAAGGCTGCTGCAAAACAGGCAAGAACAAACAGTATCCAATACAGTAACAAAGCTTCACTCTCTAACCAACTGTGAAGAGTAAAACATGGAACAATATTCATGCTGAGCTACCACATCTCATTGAACTGCATAATATGCAGCATTTGTACAGGCTGGTAGTGCCATCTCCACGTTATAGATAGGGGACTGATTTAGAAAGATTAGAAAGATTCCCTCAAGAGCAAAGCGTCTCATCCAGAAATGGGCCCCCGAACTACCAGGGACTTCTCCTAGCTGCTGAGGCTACAGAACACTGTGTTGGAGCTACTCTGACACAGAATTCCCTCTGACTGTTCTAGGTGCTTCCTCAGGGACTCACTGAGAGCACAGAACTTCAAATTCGCTGCAGTGTGCATCAACTTCTGAATCATGAGATCAAGGTTTCAAACCACCACTGTTATTTAATATTTAAGCATTATTGTTACTCACATTTATCCTGAAGGTTTACCTTAGGTGTATCTTACTAAAAACATACACAGGAGAGCTATTGGAGCTGAAACCTTGTGTATTATTTGGGTGGGGTTTTTTTTATTGTTTTAGTAAAACTCATCAGCATGTATGTGTTCAGGCCACAAATCTTGTTTTGCATATACACACTGTGGTGGCACAGCAGAAGACTGGAAGATGGAAACTTGGTGTAACAAAAGCATGGAAAAAATACCAATGGAAGCAAAAACACATATTTAACTGCACTCCTAAGCTACACTCAATTCCAAAAATCTTTCACAGCAAATAAGCTTTACAAAATCAGACCTATTCTTCACTATACAAAATGTATATGCTTCTTCCTTTGAAATCCTGCTTTTGCTAGACTGGCAAATTACAGCCTAAGAGACATAGTTGTTGTCTTCTTTCTACCTGTTAGTGCAGAAAAGAGATAAGGATTGGGAAACAAGCCACAAGTCTGTTCAAACAAAGAGCAGACGAGGCCAAGAATTGGCTATTTCAAAGGTTAGCAAAGCTCACCAATACATGCAGCCTCTTGATGTACCATCTCCTAACTGTATAAACTGCAAAATATTCTGCTATTTACTCATCCATATATTTATATTACATCTCACATTTCTGACAGGAAGCTCCTAGCTTTCCTACTTGAAAGAAGTGATGATTCATTAAATAAAACTGAAGTTCACACTGCTCAGGTACAGCATCTTGTCCTTTTCATTAGCTGCAACCACAGCAAAAGATTTAGGCTCTCTACACCATACAATGCATACAATGGCATTCCTCCACAAAGTCTTCCTCATTCAGAGGAAAATATTCTAGCAACAATACTTCCATTTATTTGCACACTCCAGAAAAGCTAACAACAGTACCAAAAGACAAATCGTGCTCTCTCTAGCAGCTTCCTCCCTGGGCTCTTTAGTTAAAGTACAGTAATTTGGGGAATAACTCACTTTCTAATTCATCAGTTTAGTGTTGGAAGTGATGAGAGGGTAGGACGGTATAGTTGACTGCATTCCTGACTGTCCATGGCCTTGTGCTGCATAGTGCTGTACACTTTTCCAAAGGGAAATACCATTCAAAGGCAAAGTGTAAAGCAATTCAAACATGACTAAGTTTCAGCAAGCTAAAATGAAATGGTCACCACCTGTAGTGAATAACCTGAGAAGCAGAAGCTTACCAAGAACAAATGGCTCAAATGAAAATGTTTTAGGCTAACAAACCCCATCAGATGTAGCAGACACAGTTAACATTTCATACATTTTAGACCATTCTGGCAAAACACCCTCCTCCCCCACCTGCTGTTACAAAGCCTTGGACTCCACAGCCTCTGTGAGGTCAGGAAGAATCATGCTTAGTGCACAGAATGAAAGGCAACTGACAATTCTTCCTTGCACTTACCTACACTTGTAGGAAATATATCCTCGTTGTTGATTTGCACCTCAATCCAGTCCATGAGGAGATTCATGTACTGCGGTGCCGGCAGCGCTGTAGGCTTCTTGTATTTCATGTCATCCTGCCACCGGTACTCATACTTAGGGCCTCCAGACATCACTGGGCAGGTCCTCTCTGTGCAGAACTCACAGATAGTTCCATAAATGAGGTTGATCCTGTTGAAGAAGTCAACAACATGGACAGCCACCCAGTCATTTTGGTCTTCTCCCCTGGGCAACTGTACAGCTGCTTTCAAGTCCACACCTGAGTGCAGAGTGGCCTGAGCTCTTTTATGTAGCTCAAACCTCTGGGTTCCAGGTTCAAACTTGCGTTTTGGACGAAAAGTCTTATCCTTATTAAAGACTTGCTTCAGTGCTATTGACATGTCTGATATCTTCTGCTCTGCAGCAGATGGCAGAAAAGCACTGCTAAGATTTAGCTCAGGTATCTGAAAACACTTGCTCCCTATCACAGGTCCTCCAGGTTCTTTTTGTCACAGAAGTTCGCGTTGACTTCAAAGCAGTCTACTAGCTCTTCCACTTGAAAGCCTTCCCGAAAGGCTTCATGTCCCTAAGGATATGGAAATGATTTACATTAGTGGTAAGCTCAAGTTTGGACCCACCAGTTTGTTATCATTTTACCATCGTTTTCTATTAATTATAAGCTGAAAAGCAAATGTAAAGTATTTAATAAGCCAGATTTAAAAAATACTAATCTCTAACTTGATGAAAACATAAAACATAAACAACATATTTTTTATACTTTTTTTCTTTTTTCTTTTTTTTAAGTATTAAGGAATTATCATCTCTGTCTTTTATCATACTTAATCCACCCTCGGGAATTCAACAATGGTTTTAATTTTCTACTAGACTGTGTAAAACTATTAAAAAGCAATGGTGAAGCTGACACTTTCTTAATAGCTCTATTTATCTTCTCTACAGGGGAACAGCCAGCATGGTGGATCTCTGCCTCTGCACAGTACTGCCACCAGGAGAGGGAAGGGATTGTCCCACTCTGCTCTGTGCTGTGCAGCTTCACTTTGAGTATTAGGTGCAGGTCTGGACACCACAATATAAAGATGTAAAGCTATTAGAGAGTGTCCAAAGTGGAGCAACAAAGATGCAGAAGGGTGTGGAGAATAAGAGGCGTGAGAAGAGACTGTGGCCCTTGATTTAAATTTTCATAGCACTATAAACATTCTACCCTATCAGTGTCTAATGAACACTCTTCATGGGATTATGTGTGCTCTACTGTTTTCATTAAGCTGTTCATGGAAAGCACTGAATTACTCTGAAGGCACTCTTAAAGCTTTCAAGAGAGGCAGAAAGGTCTTGAAAAAGGTTTTTTTTTTTTGGTTCACCAGAAGAAAGTAGCGCATACCTAGGCAAGGAGAACTGTAGTGTGTTAGACCCCATCTCCACAGAGTAGAATGTAAGCAACATGGAAAATCCTCCCCCAAGTAGCTGGAAGATTAAATAAAACCAGCTGCCCTTTCCTTTCACTGATGGCACATCTTTACACCACCCTGCAGAGATACTTCAATCATGAGTTTATAAGCAGTCATTCTTCCTCTGTCAGCAAAACATGAGACGTGCAGGGATGGACCCCAGGGAAGCCACTGTCACACCTGACATGGCCCTTGATGTAGTATTCCTGCACAGTCTGGAAATAATGAAGTACAAAGGCCGGGAAGGCCAGCCTCCTAATAGTCAAATTAAGAGTCATTAGCAGGAAATGAGGGTGCTTTAAGAGACAGCCTTGTCCTACAGTTTGTTGCAAAGACCATAACTTCCGGCTTTCAGATGCTCTGTGGCAGCAGGCTGTTTATTTAAAAGCCTTTTGAAGGACAGTGGTTACTGCTGCTCAGACTGAGCTGGTGACTGGCACACTTTGAGATGGCATGGAGCCAACGTCTCAGTTTGCAGTAAGGATGTCAAACAGGAGTTTCACAGCTCAGGTCACTACTTCTTTTGAGTGTAATGCACATGGCACTCTAACATGGCTACTTCCTCACGTGTAAATATTCACCATGACACAACATTTTTATTTAAAACAACTAGCTGTGTAACAAATAAAACACATCTTGAAAAGATAATATTCGCTGCTGTTAAACTTTCACTGCAGAAAAACAGTGAACACAGAAGAAGTAACAAAACACTCACCAAACAACTCACTGTCTCAAGTCTTCTACGTACCAAGAATCAAATGGTGAAATTGCTCACAGAAGCATACATACATCATGGTCTAACACAACTCAACAGCTAATAACATAAGATTACTATGCAGTCAGATAAAATGTGCTTTAATACAACAAGAGGAATGAAAATAAATGAGAATTGCCTGTGAATTTCCTGCACTGAGAATCCTATGTTCAGCATCTTGTAGTAAAAGGTAAGGCCACCTCTCTTATTTATCTGCAAATTTACCTGATAAAAAAACATATTTACTACTCTGGACTGTACATGTCAAACTCGTACTGTAATGCCTACTATGAGTTGATCTATTTTTCCTCTGTCTTAAAATATCCTGGAAAGCTGTGCAAAGCTGGGAACACGTGTATTTAATTTCTCAATCATTTTCACTTAAAAAAATATAATAAAGAGTATGATGAAGATCAGTGAATCAGTTCTCTGAAATCACTTTTTGCAGTTTTGTGAGGATATTTGCTATCTAGTTAACTCTGTTCTTCACTCAAAAGCTTGCCAAAATGAATTAAGAAAAACACAATTTTTTTACACCTCCCCCTCACTTCTGCAATGGACTGGGATCCTGCATGCTATGCTGTGTCCTTACTGCTCCCACTACAGCACCCAGCTACCAAGCATTTCTAAACAGTTACAGATAGCATCACCACTACTTTCCTGGAAGAAATAAGCTTTCATATTACTTACAAGGGACAAAAGAACAGCCTGAGCTTCAGCAGAGTACCCGATTTTCAGCTGAGATTCACTCACTTTAGATTTGGATCCTTCAAAGGCTTATGCTAATTGAAAAGCTTTAGCGACAGTCTGCAGTCTCTAAAAGTATCTTTACGGTTTAGGCAATGAAGTGGTACTTAATTGCAGGATGGCCTCTGCTTTGGGCTGAATCATGGAACCATTGGAGAAACTCACGCACCACTGGACTTCCAGCATGTTGCAGCATTGTGTTTTACTCAGCAAGTGATGAGAGGTCTGTCATTCCATTCTGGATCACAAATTAAAACTTCGTAGTGATAGACTTTGAAAGGAAATATATTGCTTCAAAATCGTATGGCTTTATCAAAAGTAAACCCATCCGATAGCAACAAATGGTGAGCAAAACTTCAAGATTTTTAAAGCACTGACGATGGAATTTGGCATGCCTGCCATCATTTTAACTTTCATGACAGTTCTCATCTGTGGAGAATGAGAAATGCTCACAGTTTCGTTACCTAAAGTGGTCTTGGGAGGGTTATTTCAGTGACTAAATGCTGTGAATAATGCTGCTGTATTGGCTATAATGGATTATAGCTCCTTGAAATCGGCACAGTCGCACCACCTTTCCACATAAAATTAAACTTGACTATTGATTACTTATTTGGCATTGTTTGTGTCTAACAGTCTTCATACCCCAGTAATGCCAGAAGGACTTAAATTGACTGATGTCAGAGGCCACAGAAACTGGCTTCTGACCCATGATAGATTCACTTCTGAATTGTAACACTAATTTACAGCTGTCCCTCTATGGGCAACTCAAGTGGGCAATTCCTTCAAATGATAAAGTGCGTTTCTAAAGTATACACAAAATACTCTTGTGAGAATATTCCATGGCCTGAATGATACAGTTTGGTGAACAGGTACGCCAAATCAGCTCATAAACCAGTCCTGCCCACACAGATACCACCCACACAGACAGAAAAATAAGCAAAACATCACCACCACCCTGTCTGAGTCACTGTTGAGTTAAAAACCCAACGTATAATTTCTTCATACAGTTTCTATTAAATCACAGGCATAAGAATGTTACATGACACTGTTTGCAATCACATGCTTTTCATCAGAGCACTCTAATGAGCACAACACGAGCCTTCAGCAGAAAGGTAGCTCACACAATTCCTATTTTATTCGCCAAGGAAGTGAAGAAACATGACCTCCCCAGCATCAAAGACACAGTAAGCGTTCTATCCTACAAGACACTGTCTGAAAAATCAACTCTGCATCCTCATTTTCTTTTATATTTTCCTTTCCAAAAATATAAGCTTTCATTCTGAGCACTTGTATGGTCTGATTCAAAGTCATCTGCAGCCTCTAGAAAAGCACATTTGATCCAAATCCCATTAAGTACCAACACTTTGTAGACTTCTCATATTTGGCTTCATACTTGACTATCAAATTTAATACAGTTTTAATACAAGGCACAATATTCTTTAAATAGAGGACCATACATACTATTCTTCCTTTTGAATATTCAAATACATACTTTCTCTACTTTCAGTCTCCTGACTGAGAGCAACTATTATCCTACATTACAATTAGTTCTTGTAACACAGCAAAGTACAAAGAACAATTGAGTGCACAATGGCCTGTCTAGAAATCTTAAAACACCTTTCCTATTTAGACAGCAAAAAACATCAAAATAAATAGGAATAATATCCCACATATCTTGCACAAGTTTGTGCAATTCAAGTTTAATCATAAGAAAAAAAACTGCTGTACAATCATGCTGTGCAAATTCATGGTGGAAACTTCATACATTTCTTTATGGGGGGGCAACACAAACAAACAAACCAAACAATAAAACCACAACAAGCAAAAGGACAACAACCCTTACTAACATGTAATATAGACCTGCATTATGGTTTTACCAGAGTTGAAAGAGAAAGGAAAATGGATCAAAGCAAGTTTGGGTTACTGAGGAAGCGTCTCGAAAAAGCACCATGTACAAACACAGGAACTAGGTTTTAAAAGTCACTGTATCCTTTTCTACATGTTATCCTATTCTCAACAATCTTCTAAGCTCATAAAAAGTGAGCTCCCATGGACGCTACATAGAAATGTATGAACAGTGACTTGGTTTTCCAGATGCTGGCCTGTATAGTTTCTCCATGATTTCTGCAGTGAATGTTTTCAGGAAGAATCAACATTATTAACAAAAAAAAAAAAAAAAAAAAGTCCTGCTTCAGCCTTTGTCCATGGTTTCTATGTTACTTAGCTGAAAACTTAGAGCATTTTAATTAATGTGCAAAATAACAATAGTAAGTGGTAGCATTCAGTGAAAGGAAGCTAAGTGATGCCTGAGGACAAGAATTTGCTATTTCTTGTGGTGGTAAAAATCCCAGCATCTCTAGAAAAATATGGAATTTGGCTTCAAGTCCTCTCACAGAAGGACTCTTGAGTTTCTTCAAGCTCCTCGCTTTTCTATAGAGCTACCAGGATTGCCTTACATTAATGCTTATATGATAACCATGAGAACAATACAGCTTCAAGGTCCTCAGTGGAAAGCGCTGACTGTAAAGAAGTCTTCCCATAGTCAGAAACATTTCCCAAATATACAACAACATCCATTTTACATGTAATAGCAAGCCTTTGTTTCGCTCGTGCATGAGATAA